TTTATCACTCATTCCAGCTCCACAAGCATCTGCAGATTCAATGGTATGAGCATTCTACCATATCTATCCCAAAAACATTACTCTATCCTTCTTCAGAAACATGCCTAGGCAAAAAATGTGCTTCAAATTCCCAGGAGACTACATTTAAGATAAGCAGGTGTCATTACCTCTTTTTGACAAGTATTCATAATGGTTTCCTCAGCCATGCATAAAGAGGACATATGATGACAGAAGAACAACTCAAATTGACAGATATTACAGATGTAAATGCATTTTCTAGTGTCATTTTTGTTTAATTTCCCTCACCTCTGCTGTTAATTATCTGGGACAATTTGGGTTAACTTTAAACCACAAAATTCAGATCTATAATGCTACCCACGGCTAAAAGAATACTCATTAGGTGTGTTGACTCTGGAACACACGTAACACATTGAATAATCACTATTATTAATGGGGATGACAACAGTACAACCAGCCATGAAGAGAGTTGTGCAATTCCTCTGGGACTGTTGGAGTCATTACTCTGTGTTAGCACTAACCAGAATGGCACCTACACTCCATCACTTCTCAGAGGTGTCCTGCCCCTTCCCTCCTCTGACTAAAGGTGAGAGCAAATCCACCCCAACCCAGGGTACAGCCAGGAAACACCTCCTGAAAAACACTCACAGGGCAATGTAGAGTGTACACCGTTCTCTTCTGACCAATAATTTTGCTTTTGGTGGTTTAAATTCCACCATTCTGTTAACATTAGCAACATATCAGTGTCCTTTATTTCTTAACAAGAATACAATTTTGTCATTGCCTCTGTGTCAGTGTTTAGATATTTTCCTTACACTTCTTTGAAGAGTTAATCTGTCCATTTGCTCTGTCACAACAGTATCCTACTGCTTGCAGGGTCTACTCAGCTGTCTGCCAGGGAGTTTAGTGGAGTTACACACTGCACACATGCATAAATAATACTGTGAATTAAGAGTTTGCAAACTATTACTGAGTACACATACATGCTGCTAACACTGCCTTGACTGGGCTCTGTGTGTGTGGCAAACAAGAAAATCAGAGCTCTGCAAACACCTATTAATTCATCAAGCAAGGAGCTGGCACCAAGATTTGCAAGCTTTTTGTTTCTGCATTCATTTGAGAATGCTCTGAAAGATATTGGGAATTGCTCTCCCTTCAGAAGTCCCTTTAGCTCTCATGAGGCAGACCTAACATAGCCAGAAATAAAGTCAGAATTATTTTACCTTTATCACAAGACCATGGAGGATATTGCACTTAGAAAGGGTATTAAAGATATCTCTACTAGCTGGATGCTGAGTCTTCTCCATCTGATGGCAGGAAGGGCAACGTTAAAGTTAAAAAGCAACCACAAAAAAACAAAATAGACCCCCTCAGTCTCTGTTTGTTCAAGTCTATGGAGCTGCAAAGCCCAGCAGGAACCATTGACCAGCCCAGGAACCTACAGACATGGATCAAGTTTGAGTGGAGGTTGTGTGATTGTAACTGAGTGGTTGCATGAACAAGAGTAAAAGCACAGGAGGCCAAAGAGTTCCCACCTCACTTCCTTCTGTCTTCATATCAATTTTACAACCAAACATTTAATAAAAATTATTCAGTACACCACCATCATATAAAGGGCAGATATAAAGAGTGGAAGGAGAAAGGAGCCTAAAGTGAATATCAAAGCCTCACACAAACAAGGCATAATGAAGGAGAGAAGTAGCCCATTTTTCTTCCCTGCAGCATGGCTTGTGCTTCCTATTAACAAGGTGCACGTTAATAAATTTAACTCAGACAAATTTAACCATCCTAGGACCACATTAATCAAAAGCCTGACAGGAGCAATCTGAAAGAGTTGAGGAAGGGAAGTAAAGCACAGCTGACACAGAGGATGCCATGCCCTCACTCTCCCTGGGCACTTCCAATACAAAATAACTCCTTCCCACTGCACTCCTACCAGGCTGACCCTGCTGCCTTCCCAGTGCTCCTCACTCACCCTGTGCCTCTTTATCTGATGTTTCCTTATCCCCACATGTCTATACTTGAGAAAGATTTAGACTATTTCAATATGAGCTAGTGCAGGAACTACAAAGTCCTGGTGAGATTTGTGCCACTGGCATTGCTGAAAAGAAACTCTCAAGGTACAGATTAACACATGTAACAAAGGCAACATAAGTTAGAAACCAAAATGACTATAGCTCATGAAAACTGTGCATTGGCCTGAACCAGAAGGAAAAACAAGGGCTGTCCATTTTTATTCATTATCCATGTGCCAAGTTCCCCAGTGCTGGAGCTCCACATTCGTTCTCAAGCTGAAATACCCATGGAGACTGTACATAGCCATGGGATTTATTGCAGGGAAATCCTCCACCCTTTGGTCTCTTCATATTTAGCTCTAAGTTGTTGCTCTTGAGTTATGTTTTTAGCATGGAAAACATTGACAAACAGGTCCTTCCATCAGCCAAAACACTTCACAGAAAGATGGGTATGTCATACAAAATGAGGAAGCTGAGAAGTAACTGCTGATCAAAGCAACACAAAGCAGCACAAATTAGACTAAGTGCATCCCCAAAAGCCATAATTATCCAAGCTACTCAAACAAAATAAGCACATACATGATTATTCAGATTTGCCCACAGGCATCCCCCACAGCACAAAACATGGTGCGCTGCCTTGCTGTTCTTCCACTTGATACAACAATAAATATTTTCATCACTTAAGAGTATTGGTGTTTACTTTTACAGTCTTGAAAACTTGAGTGAAACTGTGTTGCCTTGACAATGTCTTTCCTCCAGAAAAACTTCTCTTTCAGTTGGACAACTGGGGTTTCTACATGTTCTCTTTTGAGTTTCATGGGCTCATGGATAGAAAGTCTGCAGTCTTATTGTTGTGCAAGGCTTCAGAGGAAGGGTTTAATGTCACAGGATTTCATGGCATTTCAGGGAGAACTAGAAGCTCCCACTGGCTTCAGGTACTACCACAAGGCATGAGATATTTATTTCTATTGAAATAAAGAGGACTTAAGCCACATAATTGGGATTTGAACCTAGCTGCAGTATATTAAACAGACTGAAGCATTCAGGAAAAGTATCTGTCCAAATTATTCATGGATGCCTTATGAATCTTTCAGCAAACCTGGGCTGAATAAGCAAGCCAAGCCTTGTCTGTGTAGACAGGTTAACAATCTTTGAAAACCTGCCAGGCTCTCTTCTAACACTGCAGGAAGGAATCTAATATACTCTGAGAATACAGTGCTCCAGAAAATGGCCTTGCCTCCCAACATGGTCACATTTATATCTCAACATTTTCTTGATTTTTTTTTTCTTTTTTTTCTTTCCTATCACAAAACACTCCTTTCAGAAAGTCCTTTCAAAACCAAAAGAACAGAAGTCCAGTGTTTAGGACAGTGTCTCCTCATGTGACTGACTCACTCCAAGCCCTTGCTTAGATAAACCCAGATGTTACCTCAGTTTTTGCTTTGTACCACCATTGGAAAGGGCTTCTCACTTGGGCAGAAAATCTTGTTCAGTGCATGCCTCTTCCAGATGGCTCCAACCCCCAAATAAAATATTCCAACTTACTCTCAGTTGCCCCCTTGAGACCTCTTCTGCCAGGAGGTGTCAGCAAATAACACCTGACCAGGTGATCAGTGCCATGTGCCAAAGGCTGCTTTAGATAACCAAACTCCCCTTCCCCAACTCCCACCCTCTGGTTTTCTGTGTCATCATTATCATGGAAAAGAAGGGCTTAAGGGCAGGAATTCTCCCTTCAAGCCAGGCATGGACAGCCACAATTAAAGCTATGCATGTAGATTATAAATTCCCCATTTATCCTGCACTTGGCTATTTTGCTTTAGTATTTCAACCAAGAAAAGCATGTTCATGATACAAATTTGCTAATCCAAGGTAAAAGCTGAATTTGTAATCAAGTTATTACAGTAAAAAGGTAAGAGCTGTGGATGATTACACTGTAATATCAGCATAGCTGCAGTCACTCTGCTCTAAACCTGGACCAAAAAAGACAGCAATAATTTTCACCAGCTCTCATATTTCAAGTCCCTTTTAGTTTAGAAGAAGACTGCAATGAGAACTGTGGTTCATGTCACAGAATCCCTTTGGAATCATCTAGCCTAGTGCCTAAGTGAGCTAATGAAGAGCATTCAGTTAACATCTAAAACGATCTTAAGACAATTTAAATATCCACAAGTCTCAAAGGTCTCAACCTGTGTTATGTTTGAAGACATAAAAAAAAATTCACTGTACACCTAAAAATCAACCTACATATAAGCAGTTAATGATTTAGGCTCTAAAATCAAAGCTAACCTAATGTGATGCTAATCAAAATCTTAACACTTGCTGTTGAGTTACAGAAACATGCAAATCTTAATCTTGTTCATCAGGGCCACTGAAGGTCTAAATCTTTGGCTCTCACAATGAGAAATAATCAGCTCTAGATATAAAATGGCAATTATAATATTTACTATTAAACAGAACATAATCAGTATGGTCTCAGACAGAATGCAAAGAGATATATTGTGTCCAGATGGATCTGCTGGGCACACTGCAGGAACTGGAATTTCACCAGAAGACTTCAATTACTGGTCCAGCTTGGAATGAGTTATCTTGGTTTTGGTTTTTCTTAATTTAAGACTTCAAAATACATAAAGATTTTCATAGAAAACATAAAATATTTCTTAAATCTTGTTGAATTAGTTATTTCACAGTTTTTTTCTCTAGGAAATATTTTATTTTGAACTTTTCAAATGTTTTACATCATTGAAGAGAAATTAGAAGTAAAAAATGGTATCAGTTCTCCTCCCTCTTCCAGGCAAACCTGTAATTTTTAAAAAGCATTATATTTGGCTATTCCTCATATTTATATTCCTTTTTCCAAAATGAAAAAGACAAGAAAATCAGCATGTTCACCAAAGAGGTTGCTATTGTCACCGCTGACATGAGCACAATTCACCAGCATCTTTTTTAATGCTTCATTGGGCTACTTACAGAACTGCTCCAGGTCATCTCTGTTTTTAGACTCAGGCATGGCAGTGATTGTGAGCAGTGGGCATGGATTTCCTCCTAGAGTCTGGCAGAGTGTCTGCTGCCTCCAGTAAACCTTCTTAGGGTTCCTATTTTGTTCCAGGATATCAAGATGGGACTGAAAAAGAAGCAAGGAAGCAGATTTATAAAGGAGTTCACAGTCTATAAAACCCGATTTTATTCCAGTAGCTGTATATGATTTTTGATACTAATTTCATATCTTGCTAACTTCCCAGCTGCTCTGTTTTGCCAGTTAATATCAGCACCTTTTACATCACACAAATACGCACAAGCCATTCACAATGCATCCCAGTTCACTGAAGCTGCACAGAATATTTATTCTTATATCATTATCTACTTGAGGAAGTCCCTTTTTATTGCAGAGAGGTTGGACCAGATGACCTTTAAATGTCCCTTCCAGCCCAAACTATCCTATGATTTTGCCTGAACAGTTCCTAGGTGCTTTTGTTAGCATAATGAAATTTCTATGCATACACGAAATCCAAAAGAGAAGCATTTACTCTTTATATTTTAATAAGGGTTTTGTAGAAATGTGAGAAAACTCACCACTTTTGAACATTTACAGAATTGATTGCCTAGCTGTCAAGCACATGCCAGTGAAACTCAGTGACAACTCCATATCAGAGGCAGCCAAAAAGTTTATATCGAAACAACATTTTGTACAATCAGCAGTGGGAAATTTGAAGAGTGTCTTTCCAAGAAGTTATTTAAAAAAGGGAGATTTTCTCTCCCCCCACCCCCCCAAAGTTTATGACAGCTTTAAATAATTCTAAAGACCAACAGCTTCTTGAGAAATTTGAGGAGAAGAACTGGCAGCTTAGAAGAAAGACTTTTTGGAACAAATTGCGATCGGCTCATTAGACATGGAGCCACTTGTCACCCACACAGCAGATGAAGCGTGGTTCTGTCTGTCTGTCTGTCTGCAGTGCAGCTGAGGAGGGTGAGCACTGCCCCTGTGGGCTGGTGCTGAGTGCTGGGCAGCACCAGTTGTCCCCCAGTTGGTAGGAATAGGTGCAGTGAGCACGCTTGTCCTAACAAAAATTAAAACATTTCAGTTCGCTCGGTGACCCTCACAGGGCGAGGGTTTGTCCCTATGAGTCAGGGTTCAATTTTAATCTACATTTATGGGACACCACGTTCCTGTTTATCAGATCTTGGAGCTCACCATGTTTCAGACTGCTTTCTCAGCATTCAAATAGAGCCATGTAAACACAGAACTGAAATTTACAGTCAGCTATGTTATAAAACAATTAAAATATAGCTCTATAAAGTAAATTCAATTATTAAATGCATTTAACAGTCACACATAGATACAGAGAACTCAATATCATCATTTACTTATGTTCCTGGTACCCAGTGAAACTTAATTGGGTATAGCTACCACAGAGATTTCAGCTACATACCAAAACAATTAATACTGTGATGTAAAAATAGATAAATTACTGTTCATAAAAGAAATGTAATTACCAATGGACAAGAAGTAATGAACTGCAGAGTGCATCCAGTTCAAATAGGATTCTGCAATATTTCCTGCAAATATGCCTATAACCATTAAATATATATGATATTTAAAAACATTTTCAAATTACTAACTCCATATACAAGTTTATCTTCTTCCCCAAAGCACTATGTCTTTAATTGAGCCCTTGGGTTCATAATCAGTTTTAATTTATTATTGATATGTAAAACCAACACATTTCACCAGTGGACAAATGCTTTAAAATGCAATCTACTGATGCACAAACCTGATTTAGTTTATTTACTGTGGAAATAAAAGTAAAATGGAGATGTGTATAGTGCATCGCTGGACATTTTAAATTAGCCCAAGTAAAGAAGCCTTTCAGAATTATTAGAAATAGTGATTTTGCTTTAGCTAGAGCTGGACACGACAATCTATCAGCCTTTTCCACCCATAATTCCCATTTACCAAACTTTATGGTCCTTATTGTGTCCGAGTTCATTTAAACTTTTCCTGGGGCAAAATTCCCTTTAACTTCAATGAGCATTTTATTTGAAGAGACAGTGAAATACTTAAAGACCTGGTCCTGGAAGCCTAGGAATAACATCTTTTTCATCTCTATTCTATTCACTCAGGAGCAGGTGAGATATTCAGTCATTCTCAGAGCACACAAACTCTCCAAGTCTCTCTTGCTTTGTGCCAGCAAAAGATAGAAATCAATAACAGTAAAATAATGATGAAGCACTGCATTTATGTGAAATGTATGGTGGTGAATAAGTCCAACCAATTCTTCAGTATTGCATCTCTTTTTTTGCCCTGCAGAATGTAGATATTTGTGCCTTCAGGGCTAAAGGTCAGACCCCACCACTGGAGCACAGACTCCTCCCCAAGGAACTTTAGGAGTAACTGGTGAGGAACTGATGAGAAGTGAGCTGACAGACATATTTTGGACTGAAGGCTGGACTGGCCTCAGATATTGGAAGCAGTTTCTTTGAATGTCTATAATGGGATGCAAAACAGTTGACAAGAGGCTTTCTTGAGTGGGAATCAATCCAAGCCTCACTCTGCTGGTGTGACAGGCAGCACAGTGAGTCCTGGGGCAGGACACTGTCCCCTGGAAAGCAGAGCCTCCAAAATCTGCTTATGGCAAACTGATGTCATTATGAAAAACACAGTGTCCTCAAACTCCACCAGCCCACACCAGCATGTATTGCCCAAAATGTGTTGACAATGGAAACTGAAGTGAGAAGGGAGGGAAACTGATGTACTGGAACTGTGTGCTTTCATTTGCAGTAGCATTATTCTCATCTTTACCATCAAAGCAAAGCTACTCCCAGAACTATTCATTTCACTTCTTTCATCCTATCTCCCCTACATCAATTATAGAGGAAGCACATTGGATGCATTTCCCAGAAAATTCCCTTACCATCCACCCCTTTCCTCAGAAGAGGCCGTGGAAAACAAACCTGTGCCCAGCAAAAAAACTTGGTACGACTCAATAACTAAATTTATGCTGTGGAGTTGTATTCTTTTAGTTTCTGTACTGACAGCACTGGTGGGAGTGTCACAAATTCCTACTGACACTCCAGCTGGCACTGAGGAAAGAGCTGGTAAAGTATCAGATGAGGTCCAGCAGCCTGGTAATGCTGGGTGCAGCTCTGAAAGCTGGGCTGCTACCCTGGGCCAGGAGAGGAGCAGGCAGCACATCTGAGCTGTCATTAGGGTTTAGCCCCTGCTTCCCAGCAGGAGGATCCTGCTGCCCCAGGTGAGTGGAGACACCTTTGGTCTGTGTTATGACTGGCATAAGCACTGATGATTTGTGCTCAGCTTGTCCCACAGGGAAATTTCTTTTCTTCTACAGCATTCTGGGCTTTACAGCTGGCAAAACAAAGCAGTGACACCAATGATCACAGAATGGTTTCAGTGGGAAGGGAGCTTAAGGATCATCTCATTCCAACCCCCTGCCATGGGGAGGGACACATTCCCCTAGACCAGGTCACTCAAAGCCCCATCCAAACCTGCCTCTGAGCAGGGATGAGGAGCTGTGAAATCAATCCTCTGTGCCATCTCAAAACCTGCACATAGCCAAGCAGCTCCCACCATTCTCTTATCTAGGTGGACATGTCAGCATTACCATCATTGTGGAGTAGGTGTAGGGGTAGTGGTAGGCCAGGTAGCAGACATCATCTTTGTGAGGGAACTTGATGCTGAAGGTGAGGGTGTAGTAGAACCTTCTCCTCACACTCCCTCCTGCAGCTGCACTCCTGCAGCGGTAGTGGTTTCTGGAAGGAGAGAAAGAGGAGGAAAGTAAAGGCTTTTTCACTTCTAGATGTGCATTTGAAGCAGCCATGGGAAAAATAAGCATTCAGAGAAGCATCCACACAACAGGACAGAAAGCCCAGCAGGGAGTTGGGAGGCAGAACTGCACATGGCAGTGCAGGGCACTGCCAGCCACAGGCTGCTGAGGGATGGGAGCCCTCTCCTAGGAAAATAAAATCCATTAATGCTTCGTTTTGTTAAGATGCAAATAAAGAAGCAGTCAGCTAATAGTAGCTCACATAGCAGAGTCCAGACATATTTAAACTATGCATTCAGCTAAAATTGCTGTATTTCTTCAGATATTCACATAATCTTGCTCAGAGAGGCAGGTTCCTATTCACAGCCCTGAACAATGCCATAAGAAAATACTCTGCAAAAAACCTGGAGATTTAGAAAATATGAATACCCTACCAAACCAACTATTCAGTTCCACCACAGGAAAAAAAAACTCAGGAATAAAAATAAATAATAAATAGGACAGTCATAAATCTATTTCAAATACCATCAAAGGAACTGCAGAGAAGAAATAAGAGAGTGGGTTTGGGTAGAGACTGGACATGAAAGAGAAGCGACCTCGTGTAGATTTTCCAGTTGTGACCAACCCAAAAATTCTTCTTTGTAACCCTCTTTGTTCTGAAGATTTGACCCTCTCCCTCTCAGGGAACAGTGAGGACTAGCTGCTCCCTCAAAAATGGGGAGCTGAGCTTGACATGGAAGCCAGAAGAGCAGAGAACTCTTGAGGCAGGGTCATCTCCCACAGCACCTGATCAGGGCGTGCCTGGGGACAGCAGAGGAGCTCAACCACAAATTCAGAGCATCAGACAAGATTGTGGGGGTGAGGCAGGTCTGGGTGCAGCCAGCAGGTCCCTTCATGGGTCAGGATCCAGATCAGGACGTGCAGCAAAGCAGGGACACAGCATCAGAGACTGAGCTGGAGCCTCACTACAGCAGAGCCCTGGGTGAGGCTGGTCAGTAGTGACAGGGTCTAAGAGAGCACACAAATCCTTGACACTGCCTTCAGTAAGACTGCAAATCTTGTAACAAGCTCCTCAGTCTGGTGTCAGGAGCTGATCTCTTGCAGGAGACTTACTCTGATGAAGAGATGACTTCAGGCTGAGTAGGAAAGTTTTCTTTCAGCAGAGATGAAGTGACAAATCATGCACTTTTAGGGAGAAGCCTCAGAGCAAATTGCATCCATAAGTACATTTCAAACAATATTTTTCCCACATTGCACCAATTATGCTGTTGCCAAACCCTCTGATTCTGAGGGACTGTGAGGTTTCTTTGACAAATGTTATCATCAATGTTGCATTAAAATGCAAAATAGAAGAGGCAACCAAAAGATGCAATTTCAACTCCTGAATTTTACAATACTAGTTTATTTTGCTGCCGTTCATTTTTATTCAAAGGGGTGGAGAGAAAAGATAATTATTCTTGTCAAATTCTCCAAAATAATCAGCTCTTTTTCATAAGGGAGAGACAATACAATGCTGCTGGGTTTTCACTTGAATTCAATAGTTAGGAACATGTGGGGTGAGTGATACCAACTGGATCAATAGATATTGCAGGAACACTGAGTCACAGTGGCAACCTGAAAAGCCTATGATTTTATTCTCAGTTGAACGCTTTACCCCAACATTTCTTTTGAAAATAAAGCACCTTACTATTGGACAAAGACTAAAAGAGAAAAAAAAATTCAATAAACCCACAAATATAGAAATATGAACTTAGCATTTATATCTGTATTTCACTGGATCAAGGGTTAAAGTCTGGTATCTTTTTGAAGTCAGAATAATGACATTTAATATAGTTCCTGTTAATTTTGACAACGAAGGATAATTAAGAACCATTTCCTGCGTGGTGCAGAAGGAAAATGCTCACCTCCATGGCCTCTATTATACTCGGGGCCACTTGGAAGGTTAGATCATCTTGTTCATAAAGTATGGTCACTAAAGTGCTGAATTCTTCCAAGTCCTCCCCTCCAAGCTGACATTTGTAGTTAGAGGTGTGGGAGGAAGAAGGTCTTTGCAGGCAGATACTGGCATAGACATTATTGCCACCTGCCCCAAACACTCCGGAGTAAAGGCTCCTCCCTCTGTAGTCTGTAACTCTGCAGACAAGTCAGACAAATGTCCTCTCCTACCCAAAATGGCCACTTTAACCCAGGGGTTTTGCAGCAAGAGACACCTCTGACCTTGATACCACACTGGGAGTTCAGTGCTGCTCACTCCTGCCTGCTCAGACACCATCCCCTGGGCAGGGATGCTCTCACAGCACTGCTCAGCAGCACATTTCATCCTTGTCCTCAGCATCTCTGCTGTTCCACCCAACTACCCACCCAGAAAAGACATCTCCAGACTTTTGAATCCCTTGTTGACACCTGCTTCAATTCATAGCAAGCTATCTGGCAGTAACAGCAAGTTTACAGGTGGCTTTGGCTTCAATAGTCTTCAGTCTTGCACTGAAAAGAAAAGCCCCTGTGTGTAAGCAGTGTAAATGATCATGTACTTTTACTGTATATAATCTGGTCTCCTCACAATCCATCACACAAAGCAGTAGCTCTGAATATTTTTGAAAGAAACCTAAAAAAATAAAATTTTCCTCTGTGCCTCCCTCTCCTCCTACTGCTGTCAAGCCAAAATAACTCTATTGCTTCCTTTCTCCTCCACCAGATTGATGCTTTTTAGTTCCTCACCCCTTTTTCATCACAACACTCTACGAAAACCAGCATAGAGCCTAAAGTAACAAGCAAGGAAAAGGAAAGGAATAAAGGACTCTGGCAACATCTGGTCCCCACTACCTTATTTGTCTTCTCTTTCAAAAACATGTTGAAAGTCTCTCATGCTTTCTAGAAGCAAACACACTGGTTATTGGAGTGAAAAAAAAAAAGAGCCCCAAGTGTAGTTTTCTCAATGAACATGTAAGCTGTATCTACTGTGTCTTTCAGTCACTTTGTAGTAGTGAAATCACTTTGTTTGCTGCTCTCCTTCAGAAAAAAAATGCACAAGTATTGTATTTCCAGCATAGCAGTGATGAAGAGTTAATTAATAATAATTATAATACTACTTATCTCTTACTCTGCAAGATAATTTTTTGAGCTTAAAAAAAAAAATCTATGCAAACACTATCTGACTAAAACAGGCTTCCCCATTTATCTGTTCCATTCTTTGGGTGGCAGATAAGTGACTCTAATTTTCCACCCTTTGTAAGGGGGGAAAAACAGACAGGTGAAGCAGCCTGGACAAAGATGCAGGCAGGAAAGGACCTGGGTTGTAATTCAAAAGCACCAAGTGATTCAGGAACAATATCTCTTGGCCATCTGATCTTTAGGCTTCCTATCTGCAGCATTTAATATTGTAAAAAACTAAATGTATATTAGTACTAAATTACTATTTTAGTACTTAATGTATTTTAGTACCGTTAGATGATGGAATATGGCATTTTCAGCTTAGACTAAAATGGCCAAAGAAATATCCCAGACTTCTGGGCCACTTCAAAACAGAGTTCAAACAGAAAGTAAAATTTTCCTTTCTTCTAATCTCTTGATGTATTTCCTTGGTCCAAAATACTTCCCACCTGAAGTTTGGTGTCCTCATTTTCCATGTGTGGACTTCTTTACATCTCTAAGTATGGTAATTAAGTGCAAGACATTTTAGTAACACCCTGATCCATACCATAAAAAGCTGTATTTAACAATTTACTGGGCATGGCTGTTATTTTGGGCCTGCCACATTGGAAAGCAGAAAATGCACAACAAAACTTCCTTTCCAAAGGGCAAATCCGTGATCAGATATTTTTGTTGTCGATGTTTCAGGCAGAATCCCAGCTGAAATAGAACATTCCCATTGTGCCATTAAGGTGTTCAGCCACACTGCAAAGGCCAGGTGCTCTCAGAGAGAGGCTGATGTCTCACCCTCTCACAGATATCATTAGAGCAGAGAAGTGACCTGCTAATGTATGATGTTTATTTCATCTAATGTGATTATAAAGATGCTGAAAAGAGAAGACCTAATTCTGACATTGTTGCGATCACTAAACAGCCAAGTTTTAATGCTGATGTGAGAACAAAACACTCCATGTACCTCATAACTATCTGACCTGACTACTGTCTGAAAAAGCTGGAGGTTAGATAATATGCTTAGAATGAGCCATGAAACCAAAGGCACAAGCACATTGTCGCCAATTCAACACTCAGCTGCCATTATTCCTTAAATAATTTTCCAGAAAGGAATATTATTCAGTGCACAAAAGCTGCCAAGACAGCAAGAGAATTAGATGATCTTATTGTAACTGCAACTGTTTATCATGGGTGTATCCTATCACTTCACAGAGAGACAATAAAATAGAGCAGAAGTGTCACTCAGCTATTTTCTGACAAGAGCTCTGCTAATATTCCCCACAACATAAAAAGTCTTGTGAGACTTATGAGAAAGGAACACAGTGACACAGCAGTGCCACAACATTCATCTTTATGAGTAAACTACCCCATCCACAGGGAAGATGAATGCCAAAGATCAGCCACCCTGCTTCACACAGGCATCTCACCAATGAGCTTTTCCTCCCCCTGTCCTTCAGCTCAGAGGGGTCTCTCTGTAAAGGCCTTGCTGTTAAAGGCATGTCTGGGTTCCTCTGTATTTTTGAAAGTGTATCATTATTTTCCCATATTTATTAATAACTCCTGGTAAAAAAAAAAAAAATTGGATGAGATTCCCTTCAAAATATGCAGCCCCACCTTAGGATATCCTGAATGGAACTGAAGTGAGATCTTTCCCCAGAATACTGGCAGTGTGATATCACTGTGGTAATCCCAACTCCTTCTCTTCTGAGACAAAGCCTGAGCAGCCCCAACCACACTAGTTTCACATTCCCTCCCTCCTACAACTTCTAATGACTGAGAATCTCTTTTATAATCACTGAAAGAAAAACATTAAAGTTTCAGTAGAGGTGAAAATCTATTTATATATACGCATGCACATTCCTGTGTGTACAAAAATATGTGAGAATCAGCAACACACAATAAATGGGAGACAACAAGTACTTATCCTAGATGATTATGTTGACATATAATTCAATGTACAGCTAGAAAACACAGAATATTCCAAATCAATAAAACAATTCTCTCATATATTCTGAACAAGAATCTGATTACAGGCTTAATTGCACAATCATGGCTTAATCTTGGAAGTCAGCTGCTGTTTAATCACTGCACAATAGCTGCCTTGCTAATGATATGGGAAGCCACTGCAATGGTATCCAGCATGAAAAGTCTGCCCATTCTCAGAGAAGCCAGAGATTACAGGCATGTAAAGGGAAACCACTGAACCACATATGTGAGCTCTTGAGGTAGAAAAGATTAAGGCCAGGTGCATGAAGGTCAGCAAAAAGTACTTGAAACAAAATAAAATAGCTACTCAAATTGCTGTAGGCAGATGCTAGGCTGAGAGAGGATAATCTGTGATAATGCCCTCTCCTGAAAAAAAATTCAAAGAGAAATTGGGACAACTTCTGAGGCTCTGGCACGCTGCAAAAGCAGCCTGAAACAGGCAACCTGCCCAAATATCAGCACTGAGCTTGTCAGGTTTCCTTTACACCACTGTTGTATATTCAACCCATTCTTTGGCTCCTCAGCTCCTATACCTCTTAGACAAGTCTGAGTATGCAACAGAAAAACAATGATCCCATCCAGCTCTTCTCTTCCCAGCCTGGGGAAAAAACAACTACACTACTTCTCCTTTCCTCCTGGGGAAGGGAATTCTCCACATTCCCTGGCATCTAACAGCAAATCTCACTTGTGGCTGTTGTCTGAGGGAGGAAGCACACAACACATTGAGCCAGCACCAATTTCCAGACATTTGAAACAGAGGGCACTGGTGGCAGGAGGCTCATGACATCAGTGCAGTTAACAGGAGCCAAAGAGTAGAGAAAGGAAGGCACAAATTATTCACCAAAAGGAAGGCACAAACGATCCACCAAAGGTGCACTTACTTGTAGTAGCAGATCTCCTGGCCTGCCCGAATCCAGCGAGGCCTGCCCTGCAGAGCTTCCCTCACTGAGTACAACACCAGCTGCATGCCTACAGAAAAACAGGACAGGTTCAGGGGATGGGACATGCCTGGCTGGAAAAGACAGGAGTGGGAAGGAAAGGGCTAAAGAAGAAATATCATTGTTTCTTCTGTGCTCTCTCTGCTGATAGTTTATGCAGAGTAAATACATTCCCAAAGCCCTGTGTTTTGTTCTGAGACAGCCATGTCTGTAGAAAAAGTCCCTCCAGAAGAAATGAGCTGAATGGAGTTTATTAAAAAATAAATTATTCTTCTGGCCTTTGCAAACCATTTTGTTTACAAACAGAGGAAGGGAAAGAAAATTATATGAATCAAGGCATCAACAAGATCAGTAATTTGGTTAGTCTAATATTGTATGCTTGGCTGCACTATTATTGAACTCTTAATCCTACCGTAGCATCAGAGATCTGTGGTGCATCCAGAACTCTGCCTTCCAAAATCGGCAAGAAAAACTACAAGGTTTTAAGCTTACTATTAGTGCTAAATAACACCTAAGCATCATAAACACTGATAACAATAGCACCCATCTTTGTTCTGCATTATCCCAGAGCATGACCTCTTCCTGACCTCCAAAACATTTCCATCTCATGCCCTGAGGGGGCAAGGCTTTCTCCGATCCGAGCTGCACATCCATTACTCGCAGCTCCATGAAGCCAGCCCACCTGCTGGGTGTTTCTGTATCAATTTCCTTGGCTGCACACACCTGCCTGCTCTTTAGGGCAGGTGAGGATGCTGCCCTCCCCAGCAGAGCTCTCTGCACAGGGTGTCCCCCCCGGCCAGGGGCTGCAGGGCAGGCTCCTGTCAGCAGCTCCAGGGGACCCAGCACGGCCACAGCTGAGCCCAGCAATGATGCTGGCACCACTTCTGTGAGAGCACATTTAAGGAAGAGAAAAATGCCCTCCCCAAGTATTTTTGCATGTTGATAAGTTGCCCCCCGAGCCTTCTCTTGGCTGTTCTTGTGCTGGGGGGAGGTGATGTTTGAAAATCGTTAATACTGATGACACATTTCCATTAACAGCTATTCAGTTCCCTTCTTCCTTTGGGTTTCTCTGTTAAATTCTCCAGCACTGTTGGAGCCCAGAAGTATCATCAGCAATGCCTTTCCAGCTCCCCTTGGGCTGTGCTGTGGGGCAACTCTAATTCACCAGGAGCAGCCTCTATAATGATGTTTTCTGAACCAGTGCTGTGAGTTATGTGCAAGAGGCAGTTCTGTATTTGGTACCAGGACATGGTCACCATGAATTCTGAGAGACACAGGCCTGTCCAGGTGATCAGGGAAGGGATGTGGGGCTCAGTGTCTGCAGGGCTCTTGATATCCTGAATGCCAGCTCCTGCCCTTCTGAGTCCAAAGGACTCATGTCACAGACATCTTTTCATTAAAAACCTTTCCTTAGGATTTTTTCTTCCTGAGAACCTGAGAGGCCTCAGGGACAAAATGTAAACAATTATTGTCTGCTGTGGAATGCAACAGGTGCATCCTGTGGATGTTTGGAATTAATGGCCAATCACAGACTCTCTGTCCGAGCCACAAACCTTTGTTGATTCATTCTTTTCTATTCTTAGCTTAGCCAGCCTTCTGAGATGAAACATTTTCTTCTATTATTTTAGTGTAGTTTTAATGTAATATATATCTTAAAATAATAAATCCAGCCTTCTGAAATATGGAGTCAGATCCTCATCTCTTCCCTCATCCTAAGACCCCTGTGACCACTGTCACAGACTCAAACACAAAATTGTCTCAGAGCAATGGCTGCTACTAATCTGCCCTCTCATTCTAATGGAGGAAAAACAAAAAAATCAGTTTTTCCTTTTTACTTCCCCTGTGGAAATGTTCAGTTTTAGAAAACAAACTGAAATTTGGGTTCTGATGAAATCTCCCATGGCAGAGTAAGTTAGCAAAAGAGAGGGAAGGAGAGAGGTGGAGGTTGTGCCTCCTGTCTCACTCTGCTCCTGGCCACAACTATTTCATTAAAAATCCCTTCTGCTGATTTGAAAGTCACACAGTGCCATCTAACCAAGAGCAAATGGGAAAAATCAAACCAGACAAGTAACCAGGAGCTGCAAAGAATTGCCACCCAGGGCACTTTGGCACTAGATCACAACTGCAGGCTTTTTGTCTCAGAGTGTGGGCATTAGCCCAGGAAGGTGCAGAGGGAATGTGACAAATAAACAGCATCTCTTACCAGCTCTGTGCAAATGCTCTGCATGTGCTGGAAGGGGTAGTGAGCCTTGCTCAGCCAAGCCAGAAAAGCTGGAGCTTCACTGCCTGCTCGGAGCAGCAGAAGGAACCCACGGAGGAATTGCTAATAGCCAACCCCACAAACAAGCCATCCAAAAGCAAGCCATGGCTTAGCCTCCCTCCTTAGTCCAGATGGTATTTTCACATCTCTCTTCCAAATATATTATTCATTGCATGCTTGAACATGTGAGTCATGTGCAGTTTTCAGGTACACAAAATTAGATTATAAATGCTGACAACAGCCAAACTAGCAGATGACAACCTTCCACCAATAACAGCCAGAATCTCTGGCTACAAGAGTGAAGGGACTAGGGGCTACATCAACAACTGCATTGTGGTTTAAAATGGGACATCAACATCCTTCATTTTCAGGCTCCTACCACACACACCACACTGAGTTGTCTGATAATTCAGGTAAGCAGTATAAGATGACCAAAAAAATTCATTTGGGGTCTGTATGAATACATGAACTTCAGCCCTTTGGGTTAAAGAGTAAATGCCTTTTAATTTATCATGGCACTCACCCAGCCAGTTTCACACACACAAGTGATCCCAGCTCCTCAAGCTGTTTGTTACAGGTACATTGATCCTCAGAGAGACATCCTGGTGATGCTAGAGGCTGTAGCCACAGGGCTTCAGAGGAATGCAAAGTCTCATATTATGGACTTATTAAACATTCTGAGCCAGGTCTTGAGCTGGTGTAAATTAACAGAGCTCCATGGAAACAAACCAAGAAAACCCCCAGCCCATGCCAGCTAAGAATTCAATCCACAGTCTCCTTGCACAAGAAATAATTTCTTTCTAAAATGGGCATTGAAAGATGGGATTTGCCCTGCCTGTTTCTGAACAATTCTGCCTTCCTCCTGAACCATGACAGGAGCTCAAGGACAGCAAGGAACAGAATTTTTTATCATCATTAATATTAACAGAAATTTCAGTAGGTCCAAAGATGTCTTACTAGATAAAACCAAAGAATTGTGAATGTTTATTTGAGGATTATCACATTTATTTAAATCTTAGAAGTACTTTTGAATCCTGTGCTGCTCATTCCGTTCTAACAGATTGCCTTTCCCCCCCCAGCTCTCCCAACCCTAGTGCCATTCTTCTTCAGTTTTGGTCTATAAACACAACAGTGATGTTTATTTCCCCCCACAAATCCTCTCCCAGGTCTCAATATTCAGTTTCCTCCTCAGTCCTCCTGAGGATAGACAAAGATTCCTTGACAAATCTAAAGTGACTTTTTCAGTGGACTTCAGGGAAGAAAAGATTGAATTTACAGTCTCCCTTATAGACATGGAGAGTTTGAAACCTTTATGGCATTAAAAAGATATTCTTGTGAAGAGAAGGCTGCCCCAATTCCCCAAAGGCCCATACCATAATTAAACTGGCTGTTGAGCTTCTCACAGTTGATGATGTTGAAGCGATAGGGAACTGCTGACTTCATGTCACGGACCTCGAAGTAGAACCACTGGTGGTGCTGGCTGCTGTTCACATCTGCATTCATAATTAGGTCATACTCAAACCTGTGAAGGAAAATAATAAAGCAGTGGCCGTGAACACCCCCTGTCTGTCACTGAACACGCTGACAGCAGGCTGTGCAGTCAAATTGATTGATATTTTGTGAGCACCACCATCAAACACCATTAAATACTCACACTATAACAGTCAAAACATTTTGAGCTCTGTTTTCTTAATCATGCTCCTTCCATGACATCCAGGTGTTAGAAGGCATAATAAGCTCCACATCATCTAAGCTGCTTCCCTGGCTGACCCTTTCCAAAGCCAGGAAGAGGCCACCATCCCACACTGGGGCACCTCTGTGCAGGGGTACTTACTCGCGCACTTGGATCGCCTTCCGAAGGTTTCCTGACTCAAATTTGGAGAAAAATGTCAGACAGCCTGGAGCAGCTGGGCTGGAGAGACTGCTGGAAAGCAAAGCAAGGACACCTGTAGCAGATTGCTTCAAAGACAAGCTTTCCCCAGCACCTTTTCTATGCTAAAATTTGCTTTAATAATTTTTTTAATAATCAAGACCCTGGGGGAGGAGGTGAGCAAATCCATAACCTCCCTCTCCAATGCAGCTTTTCTCTCTAGTCTTGCTTGGTAATTCTAAATCATCTTTCCTTTTCCCAATACTCTCTTTTGTCCATGTTTGCTTCCTTTATTCCAGTTACTTTCCCACTGGACTATTCCTATTATTTCATTAATTGCAAAAGGCAGCTTTATACAATTACTCTATATTTACTCTTCCTTCATCTATAAAGTTTCTTTCTCCAACTGCTTAGAAACCCTTAAATTAATCCTAAGCAACTTAATAACTTTCTTCTACCTCAAACTCTCACCTCTTTTCTGCTCCAAAGAATGTTATCCAAGTCACCCATACTTCCTCTGAATGCAATTTCTTTAAATTTGGGACCCTCTCAACTGCCCAGTGCTACATCTCCTCACAGACCATAGTTGAGTGCTTAAAGCTTTCCCAAGGCCAGATGTTTGAGGGGTGTTTTTGAAGTGCTGTGTGAGTGTCACACTTATGAAACACATCTACAGCCTGTGGCACTGGCTGTGCAGACACTCCATGGGAAATTCTGCCACAGGGGGTGGAGAAGATGGATTTGTCAGTACAGTTCCCAGCACCAGTCTTCACCTCTGTTCCAAATCACTGCATGCACTGCAGACAGATCCAGGGACAACCCACAGTCCCTTTGATGTATGGATTTTCTTGTTCTGTCTATAAGTTCTGATGATTTCCTGCTCCAGTGGCTTCCACAACAAATCCTTTCCCTGGAGTCACCTAGAAACAATCTACCCCCCTGGATATTTCCTCTGTTAGGCCTTTACCTCCTGCTACTTTGCCTTTATCAGAGCTGATCAAGTAAACTGAGCTCAGTGACAGCACTGACAGTGCTCCTGGTTGCAGCACTCAATTTAAGGGACCCACCTGGGATCATCTAAATCAAACACTGTTCTTCCTATCACATCCCCCGGCTGGATTAGGCGGCGAACATCATCAAGGACTTTGTCTCTGGGAAAAAGAAAGCAGCAAATCAGAAAATTGTAGTGACAGTGTGAGAAATATTGATATAGAGTATTCTTCTAGAAAGAGTCTTAGGAAATTCTTTTTAGGGACTGGAAAGCACTTCCATGTGCTAATTCTTGGTGAACTTTTTTTTCCCATCGTGAGAACACTTCTGCTCCGTCCTCATTAGAAGTTGCCTTTTGGGTTAAATGACTGATTCTGGAAGATTGTTTATTCACTACTGGATTGTGTCAAATTTGATTTACCCTCAGTTCTTCTCAGTCAATGCCAACCCCCAAGTGGCCAATCTTACCCTCTGAGGAAATATCTGCCATTACTTACAAACCTACTAGTCTGATTCATAGTGAATATTGACTATATTCAAGCTGATTTCTACTCATTATTAAACAGAGCTTCTCTGATCCCTGAAGATGATCAAATGTGGAATACCAGATTTTCTTCCTGACCTTTGAAGCAATCATGCTATGCCTTGAAGCATGATATGATTAGTCCCATTTCAGCCATACAGTTACACATGTTGTTGTAGCCATAAAAGCAAAGCATTTAGAGCTACAGTGCAAGAAGATGGTAGAGTGATTTTCCCTCAAAACAAGATTTCTAGCTCATATATTTACTGCAGAAAGAATCCTAGCAGTCAGAAATCAGTAGTCTCAACTAATAACATTAGTTGAGCAACTCTAATTTTAGCATAGAACCCACCATCTTTGCTGCCTGCTAATAATCCCCTACATCACTAAAAAGAAATATAAAGTCATTGCATATAGGCCTATGTCAAGCCAAAAAAACTGTAATTAAGAGCTTTCTCTCCCAGCACATCTTCAGAACACAGCTCCCCACTCATCTGAGCACCTAAATAATGAGACATCCTTTCTGAAAGGACAGATAGGATTTTCCCTGGAAGAATCAGGTGGGACCAACAATGCAAGAACTAAAGTGGCAGAATAAAGAGTAAGATCAAAGTCTCACAAGGACACAGAGGCTTCTCCATCACCAAAATGGACTTGTTTTCCTTTGTGTTCTAACAAGGTCATAGACTCACAACCCAGCTTAGATTGCATCTAAAGCTGCCCATTATTGATGAATTTATCAATCAGTTGAGGCACATAATTGGGTAGCAAAAAATTTGTTCAATAGCTTCCTAAGGCATTCAGAGCTGTTAGAGTCAGAACCTACATAAGCCAGTTTTGAGCCCAAGGGCTCTCAGCTTGGTCCCCAGTTTAAAGCACCATCACCTTTGGAGCCCATGCTTGCGCTCCAGCACGGGCTTGCTGTAAGGAGGTGGCTGGTGGCCCCAGAAATCCGGGAATGCCAGCTCTCTGTAGCCTGGGATGGACTTCACACACTTGGCCCTGGCTGCATAGAAACAAGGGCTGTGGAATGGGATAGATCCTTGGTGTTTCTCCAGAAGGTTTCTAACCATATCGGAGCTCTCCAGCCTCCCTTCAGGACTAGGATTGATCGAGGCCTCACAATGAGGGTAAAACACCTTTTTGTACCAAGTAGCATCTTTTAGGAGAGAGCACAAAGCAAACACATCACTCCTGGCTGGATCTTCCTCCTCACAGAAGTCTTTATCCTGGGCTTTTTCAGCAATGTCTCTGTTTTCATCATTCTTATCCCATATGCATTCCTCCTTCTTTCTCCAGCTCTGCAATGGGGCTTTGAAATCCTGTTCTCCTGGATCTGGTCCCATCTCTGTGACACTTTGGTTTCTCCATCTGCAGTTTGGATGCTTCACAGAAGTAGCACTTGGAATGAAATGAGAGGGAGCAGAGGGAAGACTCTCAGTCCTGTCCTCCAAGCTCTTCTTTTCCTCAGACTCAAATTCAAGCTCCTTTAAATTTAAAAAGCAGAAAAAATTAAAAGAAACTACAGACAGATTGTGCCTCCTTCCAGAGGAAACCTTTCAAGGAGGAAAAGAGGAAATATTTACACATCTCCCAAAACTGTACTCAACCAATAAAACAGCCAGAGCAAAATCAGTGCATGGACCACCTGCCAGCATTTCTCTATCCACAAAGCTGTTTCAACAGAAATCCTCAGAAACCAAAAGGATGTGATTGGAGATGACTCGCCCAGATGACTCAACCAAAACCAATCATTCAAACAAAGAAGGGAAGATTATTTTGAAAGGCATTTTTTTTAAATGTAAGTGTTACAGGAGGATAAAGGTGGCCAATCAGTCATGCAAAATTCCACCCCTACCTTCATGCAGGAGAATGATTTAATCCCATTTGGCTACTTATGGTCACAATCAGTATCACAATATTTTGTGTACAGGAGATACATTAACCCAGAGATCTTTTTCAGATTCATATTTGAAACAGGATTTTCAGCTCTCCTAAATTCCAAAACTTGTAATAAATGCAATATTCCTTTTTTTGTCCCAAGCATCACTAGAAAAAAATTATTTGAACTGTTCATTTCATTCAGTGGCAGTGCAATCTCCTCTTCCTTCAAACCACTAGTTGACAGTATTTACTTTTCACATCTCATTCTGATTTTGATATTGCTGTTGAAATTGCCAGCAAGGATACAAATTATCTGACAGATTTCTCATGTGGCAATTGATTCAACAGTGCTTACTTAATCTACACCCAGACAAACGTGCATCAAACATCATTCCTTTTTCACTCATGATTCACACCAATGAACTACTGCAAAAAGTCATAGTCTTTGGCTTTCTAGTCCTGTAAGACTTACAGGTTCACTTTTGAAATAGCCTTGTCTAGCTATTACTTGTCAATGCTCCCTTTCAAGTATTTCTTAAATTCTGGAATATTTACAAATAAAGGAAACTGCACTACAATCATACCTGAAAATTCTGGAAAAGTTCTGCACACAGAGCTTCATATTTTTCAAGTTCCTGTTCTGGCCGGTCAAGCACTGGCCTTGACCTCAATTTATTCACATCTGTCTCCAAGTCACAATCCTACAAAAGCAGAATTAGAAAAGCACGTGTATTACACCTGCCCCATGAGATGATCTCAGCCATCAGTGAATTGAGGATAAAAACAGTGTCTGAAACTTTCACAGTCAAAGGCTGCTGTGCATTAATGTGCAGCCTCACCCATATCAGAGGTGAGAACCAAAGCCAAACTGTGTCAAGCATTCAGCTATTACATTAAAAAAAAAAAAAAAAAAAAAATCCCCAAAATAAAACAACACAAAAAAAAAAAAAAAAAAACCAAAAAAAAAAAAACAACCACACACACCAGGAAAAGTTGGAGCAAGAGGAAAGTATGAAGACATGGCATTGATGACTGGGCATTACATTACAGCATTATTCAAATAATTCAACATGTCTGTGTCCCACCAAATGCCATCAAAGAAATTATTTGCTCCTGACAAATAGATTCATTTCCAAAGCTGTTATAAAAAGAAAAAAAGTAAAATTGCCTGAATGCACCAGTGCCCATGACATTTCAAACCCTGAGCCATACTTGGGTCACAAAGCAGAGTCTGAAGAGTTGTTTGGGCAGAGATGAAAAGGCAGTGAAGAGCTGCCAGAAACATGAGCTCAGCTGAAAAGGATTTGCCACTGAGAGCATATTGATGCATAAGAAGCTTCAGATTTTGGATGGAAAAGAATAGATGGCTGATGTGGTGATTTTTATTTTCATAGAGCTCTAAACAGCTCCTGATGGAAGGGTAGAGCCAAGTTTCAGTTTGGTTGGTGTTGCTAGCATGCATGGATATGTGTTTTGTTGCTGTGAAAATGTTTGCAAATCACATCAATACCAGCAAACGCTGTGCAAAAGATCTTAAACAAAAAAAAAAAAAGGATAAGCTGAAAGTTCATTATCCATTCCCTGCTTGCTTTCCCTTTAGCAAGGCTTTTTACAGGAGATATATGACCAGCAAACCAGACAAACAGTATTTAAAACTCATATGCAGAATAAGCTCTTAGGCAAAAAAAAAAAAAAAGGCAACCCCAAAACTGCTTACATCTACTTGGTAAATCCTTATGAATAATGAAAAAGCTCAGAAGCATAGAGGAGCTGTTACTGAATGAATAACTAATTAAAGAAGGATATAAATCCACTATGAGCCTTATTCCTAATGAGCATCTTGACGAGCTCTAATAGTCAGATAAAAACAACCAGACAGGGGCAAGTTAGGACACTCAGATAATGTGGGGGGGGTTTAACTTCCTTTTTTTACTGGGTGACATCAGTTTAATATTTGAGGAGAAGAAGACAGGACAAGTAATGAGAACTCCCTTTCACAGAAGTCTCAATCATTTCTAATTAGACCATATTTGCAACTTCATTTCTTTAACTTGCTTTCCCAAGCCACTTTATGTGGATAAGACTTATTAGCAGCATCCACTACTTCACATTTGCATATGAGCTAGTTTGTATTTTCACAACAGAAAAGTTTGCACCCTCATCCTCAGCTGGTAGAAGTTTTTTTTTTGCCAGTTAGGCCACTGAAGGGAGAGTGCTAAGGGAGAATTCCGAGAAGTACTGAATAATTCATTGTATTATTTGTCTGTGCACAGCAGCAAATAAAGAAGGAATATAGGTTCAAATGCACCAGCTGTGGCTTAAAAGAACTAGCCTTTTCCTCAGGGTAGCTGCACAGCCCAAATATGCTCTGATATGGGAATAAAGAGAGGGTTAGCCTTTCCTAGATGATAAATCAATTTCCCCTAAGTGCCATTTTCCTGGCATATGCCTAGTGGATCAAAGATCCACCATTTATGCCTGACTGTGGATGTGATTCTGCGCAGTCACTGTGCAGGAACAGAGTCACCAAACCCCCTCCACCCTGGGTGACAAGCATGACAATGAATAGAATAAATGCAGGGCACTTTTTAGTGAAATTCAATGCATTCTCCTTGCCCTTTTTCAAGCATCCTCCCATTATCCATGTAGTGGGTTCACGTGGGACACATGCATATCTACATTCTCTGCTTAGTCTTTCAGGGTGTCAAAATAGACAACAATATGTTTTATTTTTCCAGTATGCAGATAATTATGGGAACTATGGCTTGTATACCTACTTCCTCTTTACTCTCCACATCCTCATTATCCCAGTCTTTTTCATCCTCTTCCTCTCCTTCACTTTCACTGTCATCTGCAGAAGTAGGAAGGAGACAGAGACAAAGGTGTTCAACCCAATATCCCCCTCATACCCCAAAGAGAAATACATGTAAATTCTTCTATGTGTGCCACACAGTCCACAACCCACCACAACCCTGATTAAAGCAAATCCCATTTGTTAATCTCATATAAATGAATTTGGCACTAATTCACCCAGTTTTTAAAGCTCTGTTCTCTTGGACTCAAGCGCTGCCTTTGAAAACCATGACAAATGTCCCCATGATATGGATCCAACTCATTTTACAAAGCAATACAGAGATTTTCTGCTTGGCTGCAATGATATTACAGGATGCTCTTAATCTGTATTATCTAGATTAGGGTGTTTTACTGCTATGATTGTTATAGTATTTCAGCATCTTCCACACAAAATTGAATGTAGCAAAAATTGCTCTGTGTATCATGGAGCCTTTTCTGCAGAGTAGCTGTCCTGCCTGTGCTTGAGCTCTGCTTTCCAGCAAGAACTCCCATCTTTTACTCATGCAGCATGACTGCTGCCTGCTTTTACTTTAGAAAGGATAATAATTCTTGCAATTCTTCCCTGAAAAAGCTGCAGGGCGGTTTTTACCCCCCAAGCAGCCAATGCACAGGCACAATTACATCTCTGTCTGCTACTGGGGAGCAATGGCATCTCCAGCCTCTGCTATACCCACTCTGTTCCTTTATTTGTTGGATAACAGAATAATTTTTTTTCCTTTTCCTTCCTCTTTTACATCTTCTCTCATTTATTCTCCAAATAGACCCTTGCAGCTTCAAGAAGACCTGGGAGTAATTTCTTCCCTACTGAGTGACACTGTAGGTTATCAGATTAATTCAAACTGTAAACCTCAGGATTATGCCAAGTCTCCCTTCACCAGATCCCACACTTAATTCTCATGTCATGCTCCTTTTCCTCCTTCTGAACTCCACCCTTTAGTTATGTACCTTCAGATCCCTCACATGGAGGTTCAGCACTGGCATTCCCAGGAAGAGGGAAGGAATAGGAACTCCTTACAGTCACCACAGGCAGATGCTCCTTGGGGTAGCACTTTCTCAGAATATGAGTCGCAGTAGTTATGATAGGATCCAGATTTTTACAGGATAAACAGTCCTAGGAAACAAAGGAGAACTGCATTAAGAATAGCCTTTTACAGCAGCCCTGCCTGTCATAATCCCCAAGAGCAGAGCCACTCTTCTGGTGAGAACATAACCCCCTTCACCACTCATGATTCGCACCCATAAACTGCAGCAAAACATCGTAATCTTGGTTTTCCAGTTCTGTAAGACTTACAGGTTTACCCTTGAAAAAATCTTATCATGTGTGTATTTTGGCTGCCAAAACATGCCAAAATCTGTGCTTCTGCAGCTTCAGCACAACTACACCCAGAATCATGCCAAAACTCAGAGATAAACAGAGTTAACACCTCTATTTCAATGTATTAAAGGTACATAATGTCTTCTCAAAGAGAATACACTCCCACTGTACTCTGTTCTCTGTGGTTAAATCGTTAGGCCCAAAAGCTGTTCTGAAAGATCACTATATATTACCTAATCATAAAATAATTAATAACTGCAGTATCCCACAATTTCTACTTCTATAATCCAGAGGAGAAAATAGACATGTAAAGATTTTTTAGAGCCCAGGTATACTTTGAAGACACTGAATACTTTGTATTTTTGTTGTACTGCTGTGCAAGTGAGCTCCTCAGACTTTTGTTGCAAAGAAAACAAATCAAAATCCCCACAGAACTAAAGAAAGACCCCTTGAGACATCATAGAAGTGATCTATGTCTTCATACATCACAGTGTATGTCTCCAATAGAACATTAGGGAGTTTGGATAAAGGAATGATAATGCTGCACAAAGGCAAAGTTGTTTAAAGCCAATGGGTGCAATTCTCAGAAAACCCAGCCCTTGGATTTGCCCAAATACAGCACACCCAAAGCACAGCCTCCATCAGCGTGAGTCATAAGTGCAGAATTCTACCCAAATTCACAATTTTCACTCTGCCTCTCAGCATGTTTTCTTCAGTGGTTTGGAACTAAGACTGAGCTCATCAGAACAGGAATGCAACTTAAACCTAGCAGTATGAATATGCTACAAGGCAAAAGAGAACTATTGCAATACTTTCTACCACTATTTCATGATTTTGCATCCCTGAGGTAGAGATAAAATGGAACAACCAAGAGGGGAGAACAGATGCTTCATGTCATTGCCTGACAGCCCATAGTCAGCGTTTGGGCTGGACAAAAAAAAAACCAAGCAGACAATCCAAGCATTCAGCAGAACCAGGCAGAAGGCCAAAAGAATGTAAAAAAAGAAAACCATAAAATGACCATTGGATCACAGGTTCTGCCTGACTAACCTCATCTCCTTCTAGGAAAAGGTGGCACTGTTTAGGGGTGGACTTGAGAATGCTGGGTTAATGATTGGATTCAATCTTAAAGGCCTTTTCCAATCTAAATGGTTCTGTGATAAAGTACTTTATTATAACCAGGAACAGGAAAATGGCTGTACTGGGGTTCTTTTGGTTGGGGAGGATTTTACTGTTTTCTCATGTATGATTGAATGGCATTATAAGATTCAGTGGGATTAACCAGGATTCCTGTAGGGAGGCTAGAAAAAAATCATCTAAAGCTGACATGCTTACAAGACTCACTACAAGAATTTTAATATGTATTTCTGGCTCTCTGGCTGTTTGGAACTAGGGGGAGAGAAAAGAAAATGATGAAAGCATCTCTGAGGAAAGTTTTATTTTGGGTAGAGCAAACACCAAGGAGAACTGGTTCCTATTTCTGTTTCAATTTGTTCACTCCTTCATATGGTTGCCTTTGTTTGCTTGTTATTAAAGGAAAGATTAGGAAAGTTTGTCTACATGTGGGAACAAGCTAATATTCTCAACAGTCTACTAGTTTAGTTTACTAAAACTGATCTGTTTTTGCTCAAACAGTGAATGCAGGACTGTTTAATTGCCTGCCTTGGGACAACCTCCTTAATTCATTGCCAAGTGAATTTAAATAGTCAAGACCAAGGCATGTTCATCCAGACAATGAACTTCAACACATGGAGTTACTCAGTGATGGAATTACTCAGTGATGCTATTTGGAAGTCATTTTTCTGAGCAGCAAATTAGCTCAGAAGTGCAAACAAGCCTTCAGATACCTTAGAGGGAATTTGTGGGACTGTTTTCATTACTGCTCATAAAGTGCTCTGAGGTTCTGAGGTAACACTGTTTACAAATGGCTGAAAATGATTACACCAGTGTATTGGAAAAGCCCTTTTTACTGACACCTGGGAAGCAGACAGGAGACTGCTCTGTACGTGTGTAAGCTATCCCATTTATTTTGTGGTGGGATAATGTGAATGAGGGAAGAGTAAATCCTTAGCTCAGAAAACTCATGTAAAGCTAACCTGGATTCAGATCTGCTTTTTAATCTCCACACAATCTTTTCTCCACTGAATCTGGAATAGGATATTATATTATGATATTATGGCATGTGATATATAGGGGGGAAAAAAAAAAGGAGGCTTCAATATGACAGTAAGACAAAAGATAGTGATGCTGATTGATGCTCCTACTGGCAAACAGAGTAGAATATAGGGTAATATTATCCTAGAGTAGTAGGGGAGGCTGAAGAGAAACAAGGCAAGCTTAAGAAACAAGATGGAAAAGTGATAAACATTCAAGATAACATTCCATGCAGCAGTATCTCCTAAAGCACATAGAAACCTGTTTTCTTGTCTCAGAGTAGGCAGCTCTGTCACTGCACACAAAACCAGACAATGCTGATGTGAATATACCATTTAACTGTCAGGAAAATCAAAGCGCAGCTAGGAAAAGGGAATGGGAACAGAAAGTACTTCCTTTCCATGAATGATTTCATTATCTATAATTATTTTTTATTCTGGGTAGGAGTAGAATTCAAAATACCTCTAAATTCCCCTAAAATATCTCTAAAGTCTCCTCAAATTGAGTAGCAGTCACTTCTAATCTATGTCAGGTGACAGTTTTTGAACTACTGGCTATTCCTGTAAAGAAATAAGCTTAAGGGCTATTAAAAGCTCAGGTATTTCATCTGTCCATCAGCCTGGACAATAGGCAGCCAGAGAGGTTTCAATTGAAAACCAGCCTTGTAAATAGAATTTCCACTGGAGTTTAAAACAAACCCATCCTGGAAAAATGGTTTTCATTTCAATAAATATGTGCACATAAGAAAAACAAAAAAAAAACCCAAACAAAACTTAAGAAGTTTCAGCAGAACTTTTCTACCCAGATTTTAACACTGTAAAAATCTCATTAGCTGATCAGAGTCTGGTCCAGGTTAATCACCAGAGCCAGTGCATTCCCTAAGGGCACTAAAATACTGTCCACACACAGAGTCATTGCTTTCCCAATCAGGAGTTGTCTTGTCCTGTCTTCACATCTTTCTCTCTTGCTACAGCCTGTTGTCTGTCTCAGGAGACAAGATTTCCCATCTTTCCCTCATGAAAATTATCAAGATTTTTGTGGCAGCAGCAGCCTCTACCTCAGGTTAGATAGGGAAGAGCATGAGTGAGATCTCCTAGGGCTGCCAGACTCCTGCCAGCACTTCATGTCTTGGAGAGACACTGCAAGACTGACAATATCCCAAAGAAGCAGTGAGAGAACATTGAGCTTTGAATCTATTAACCTTGGTTATTTCTTGTCCAAGGTCTCCCTAATAGCACACACTGGGAAAAACACAAACTGGAGGCCCCTGAAGCTGTCATTTCTGCTCCATTTCTGACCTTTGGAGGGATTAGCATTTTCAGTGTTTACTGGAGCCTTAGGATGCCTTTTCCTGTTTGTGCACCCAAGGTGACCCCAAGTTTGTGCTTGCCATGGAGTTGCTCCAGGCTGAGCTATCAGGAGGTGTTAGCTCAGAAAGCTTCATGGGCTGTGGGAGGCTCTTGAGAGGGAACATCCACCCTCAGCAGCTCTTTCCATCCACACTATTCATGTTTCTCCAGACCAGGGACTTCTCATTAACAGAGGCCAATCCCTTGGGAGGTCTGCTGGCTCTGGCCACCTCATCCTACCTAGAGAAAAGGTCAGTTCCTCAAGAGGAAAGTGAAGCGAAAAATTCCAGAGGTCTCCCATAGGCTGCTGGTAAGAAATGACTCACAGAAGAATCCTTCGTGACAGTGATGGAGAAGGAGAAGAAAAACACACTGAATCACGAGGCAATGGATTTATTTTAAGGGGGAAGGAGACAGGCTTTTCTTTCTGGTGGTTCTAGAGTGGGATAATGCATAGACAGTAAGAATGACAATGGAAACACTCCTAGGGAATCACACAGGTGATTTTCTCTTAGTTCAAAGCAAGCTAAGGAAGCATTTTCCTGAAAGGCTGAGGAAATTCTCACTGTTCTGTGCCTGCCTTTTCTATACCTTATGGGCATCCCATCCACAGGACCATGGCATCTTTCTTGAATTTGCAATAATGTTTCACAAGATTAAAATTTAACCTCCTGAAAAACTGTTGATGGATGTTTCTCATTAGGAAGGGCTTGGCTAAATGAGCATTTTGTTTAAAAGGCTAATTGAGTGGAATTATCTGGTTATTGTAAAGGAAAATCTCACAAAAGACCTAAGCAATTTCCCTATAGAGATATTGCATCATTCTTCAGGAGATGTCCAAGCAGGCAGCAGGATGCACAGGGAAAGAGAAATAAGCACTAAAAGCATGAACTAGAATTCCCATAGGAATTAAGATTTGTTTTAAACTGAAACATTTCAGCTTTTCTAAAGTACTGTGTAAAAGTCAACAGTTCTTCATGTGATCAGTTTTTTCATCTGTATGCCCTATCCTGAATTAATATAATGATGGAATTTCCTGCAGGGAGATGCAGAACCCAGCCCTAACCACCAAATCCCCTCATTTAAACACAAAAAGCACCATTTACCTGCACACTTGTGAAGAGAATCTCCATTCCCCGGGAACCAAGGAAAGTCTCCCTGCCCAGCTGGATGTTGGTGATGTACTTTAGGCAGAGCAGGAGACCCCTACGGATGTAAATGTAGTTGTTGGAGACATCATTGCGGTGCCAGTCTTGGTAGAGCCTCAGCAATTCCCCCAGGTAGCCTCTGTTCACTGCCCGGCGGCTGTTTGACTCTGAAAAGGAGAGAAATGCTGAATTTAACTCCTTTCTGTGTGGTAATTGGGGCTACTCAGTGCTTGAACTCAGACTTTAACACCTATTCATTCTGGCTTAATGTTCTCAGTTAAAAAAATATTTTTTAAACTTCTTTTAAATTTAAAATCTTGTTTGTTAAACGTGACCCATGTTCTTGGAACATTACATGAAAAAACACCCCAAAAAACACAACAGTGTCCTGTCTGGAAATAGGAACCCTCCAGGTGAACCAAACCATAGGTCTGCATCTCCTTCCAAGTGCTAATAAACCTAATTCCAGTTGCAGTGCCACAAGATTTCCTGGAGCTACCAAAGCTCCTGAGGAGTAAGCTGAATAAAGTAAGAGTAGTCAACAGCATAAAATCTTCACCACAGTGCTGCACTTCAGTCCTGAGAGAACACCTTGCTGAGATCAACAAATTCAAAAACCTTGTAGTTGTACAGTCCTGCCACAGCCAGAGAAATTATTTTTGTCTTCTAAATGTATTCCCACAAATACCTGTATAATGAAAGCCATGAATCAAGTGATTCTGGAAACCCACAGTATTTAAAAATAAACAGAACACCAACATGACCGGTAGCAGCTGGGGCTTCTTTTCTGTTGCTTCCTGGCACCAAGATTTTAAAGGTCACATTCAGGTAATGTTTAAAGGCTTTACTGTATGGGCAAGAAAATTACAAAAAAAAATTTAAAAAAAATAAGATTTATAAGAGCTTGTGATGTAATACAAAGTCTGCTGAGTTTCTAAAGCACATCCCTTCACTTACTGCATTCCTTGCCCTGGCCCTCAGGACAAAAAGGAAGGCACACCAGACCCCAGGCTCCCTCCCTTTAAACCAACCCAGCCTAAATTTTCCTGCCTGGCCCTGCCATCCCTTGCTGTGACAGGCATTAAAAGCTGTCAGGAGCTCAGTAATCAACTGGGGGGCAGGTAGCATATGTAAGGCAGGAGCTCAGCTCTCTGAATATAGCACTCAGCACTTGCAGCTCACAGCAGATGGCTCTTGGTACCAGAGCTGGTGGGCTGCAATCCATTTCCACTTCATTAAACAAAGTGCCAGAGCCTCTCACACCTGGAGCTTTAAATCCATCGGGGGGATTCACAGGACAGGAGAAGCAGCTAGAGGTCAAGTGAGAGGATAGGAAGATGCTGCCTGAAGAAAATCAGCAACAAGAGAAGCCATGGAAGGAATAAGCAGGAAGCAGCAGGAGCAGCAAACCTCAGTCCCAGTGATGAAGTAGATGGAGACATTGGAAAGGGGAAAGAAGTCACCTGAAGTGAAGCCTTCCCTCAGTCTGCTCTCTGCAGTAGATGAGCAAACCCTCACCTGGAGAAGGGATTGGAGGGTTTTCCTGCTACCTGGCCTGGTCCTGCACATTTCTCTGCCATTGGCACCAAGCAGCACCCCCAGCCCAGGCTGCCAACTCATTTTAATGCTGCTCTGCAGCTTCCCAGCACCCTGCTGCCATGGCCCTGCTGGCCCCACAGCAATTCCAGCCCCACACAGCCCTGCCCAGGCTCTCACACAGCTCTCCAGCCCTGCCTCCCCTTGCTGGTAACCACCTACACTAACTCTGCATGCTGAGGCTCAGTGGTTGTCAGATGGAGAAGGTCACCCTCCTCCTCTGACCTTCACTCTGTATTTCTGTTTTCTATTTGACTCTCTGTGAGAAAACTTTAATTGCTTGAGAATCCCTTATCAATCCCAATGATTTTATTCATCATTTCCTGTTAATCCTCAACCAGCTGTCATGTTTACTAACCTGTAGGATGACTAACCCCTTAAATCAGTCAATCTTCCTTGAAGAATTACTCAGGAAGCTCTGTAAAAGTCAATACGTGTATAAAACATGACAAGAAGAACAGAGTTGGGGAGCATAAGGTAGGGACAATTTAGATCAGACTCAGAGCTTCCCTGAGCTGTTCAGGGACAGATGAAATTGGACTGGATCTAGGCTTTCATAGCCTCTAGCACACAGTGCTTGAAGTCTAAGCTTTCTGTGTCAATGTCAATAGGAAGAGGGAAGAACTGGGAAGCACTGTGTGTAGAGCTTCTTGGGGAATTTGTTGAAAAAAAAATTCTCTCTCAAAGAGTGTCTGTGATCTTTTAAGACAGATTTCCACATTTGAATCTCAGCTCCACAGGGACCAAAACACACAACTGTCCTATGCCTTAATTTTAATACTCATTGAAAAGCATGGAGGAAGGCGAGTGGAATAATTTTGCTGTTTCCTCACGTGTTTTCTGTAGTACTCACCACCTTCAGGATCAAAACAGTCTCTTTTCAAAATGAAGCTGGGATAGTCTGTTCTGTGAGAAAGAGATGGAGAGGCAGGACTAGATTTCCCTGAACCCTTTGATCAGAAGCAATGAGAATTAATTGCTGAAGGGGCAAAAAACACATTAATTTTGTTTCTCCTGTCTGATTTCATTGATTCTCCTCTGCTCTCCTGTGCTGTCAGTGTTTTTCTTTTTTTTTATTTTCCATTTTTTCAGTTCTATAGTCAATAAAGTAGTGAATAAATGAAAGAGGAAGTATGCCAAGATCTCCAGAAGGCAGAATAGAAAAAGGAGGCCTCCCCACCTGTCTGTGTCTGTTGGTCTCTCCATCTAGGGATGCACCAGCATGGGTATCTATCTATATTTTGGCACAAATACAGATGGTGGAAATGAATCATACAGGTACAAGCAGCACTGCACAGATTTGTAGGCAGCAAGAACCACCCCTCCTGGAGTGAGTGCATGCAATCTGTGTGGTAAGTGGCAAAATGTCCTGTCTTTTGACCCTCTTCCTGATATTCTTTAGTTAGGCCCTTTCCCTCTCCCTGGGTATGGTCAGTAGCCAGTGGAAATGGAAGTTTTCCTGCCATGCAGCAGAGGTGCCCAGGGATGGTTCCTCCTATTTTGAGTGAACTCAAGGGGCTCCTATCACTTGAGGCCATCAGTGGGAATTCAGCACCAACCACAAAAAAAAAAAACACTGTTTTGGCTAAAGACTGGGCTGATCAGTGGCCAAAACTGTATTAACAGCAAAAATCTGACTATACATCAACCCCTTTAAGCTATCCATATCTGAATCACCTATGCAGCTCACCAGAAACATCTGACATGAGTCTCCAGCCAACAAGCAGAAGCCTCAAATGGTTAAATTTACATCTAAATTACCAAGGGGATCTCACTAGAAAGAAATCCCCAGTTTTGACAGAATTCTCATTCTGTGGTGGGGGCTAAAGTCAGGTTTTCAGTCTAGGAGATTAAAGCCTCATGACCACCAGGGCTACTGTGGACGTTTCTGAAGCCCTCTCTGCAATCCTGTCTCCTTTGAAGTGTTTGCCAAGAACACAGGTACCCCTGGAAAACATGCAGTGTATTTAATCAAAAACTGAATTACAGTCAACCTGAAATATGATGAGCAATGCACTGCTTACCAGGCAGAACAAAGAGATATTTATCTTTCTGTCTATCTGCTTAAATCTCTTTGTTGATGCCACTCAGCTGATTCATTATGCCAAGAACATGCATTGCTACAGCTTGGAGATAAGAATACTCTGCTAAATTAACCCTATAGCCCCTAAAGCAGTGAAAGGAATAAGAAAAACTCCAACTTCCCCACTCTGCTCTGATGATTTCCTCTTAGGAATAAAAAATGCAAGCTATCTCCAACAGCAAAGAGAGCACAGCTGTTTTATTTGGTCATTGAGAGGCCACTTTTGCAGAGAAAAGCACAAGGGCTCTGTATAGACACAAAGTTAATTATCCCCATGAAGAAACCAAGTCATGCATGAAGTGCTGGGATCACTTCAGACTGAGTGAGCTCCACAGCAAGAAGGTGGTATTAGCTCAACTCATGTTGGAAGCCAGAAGGCTGCACTGTAGTTTTGCCCTAAACAGTTTCCCTTTCCTTCTTTGCTTTTCAGAAAACCAGAAATAAAATTAAAAACAAAAATACAGGGGCACAAAATCTACAGTTTGATTTTTTTTTTCTGACTGAAGTGGTTTGAAAGAGCTTTTATAAGGACACCAGAATTTGGAAGACTTCCTTAAATAGAGGCACTGAATTTACAGAAGCCAGATCATCACTGGAGGGACAAACACTGCCCATGCCAAGACAAGGAGGTAAACAAGCATCATTAAGGATGTCAACAGAGAATAATGCAGCTCCTCAATACTTAGTTTTTATTACACCTACCCTGAGTGGCAAAACATCAGGAAGTTGCCATGCCCCAAGAGAAAAAGCCAACACTTTGCTCTGGAGCACTGAGTTACATCAGTTTGGAATATGTCTATGAATGAAGAGTCTTGGGGAAAGGAATATAAAGGACATAGAAAAATTATTTTCTTTCCCACAAAGCGGTTCTTCTCAAAGAGATAAAAGTATAGAATCAAGACTGAAATTTCATTCTGAAATTCAGGAAGAAAAAAAGACAGACACAATGCTTGGTTTAGGTTATCATGAAAAGAACTGCAAAATTCAACTCTGATCACAATACCCAGCAAGATGTGATCATGGATTTAGAGCCAGGCTGACACAGGAGTTTGAATCCAGAGGTGGATAATAAGGATTTCAGTGGATGATGAGAGATGGGTACCTGGTGCAGTATGAGGCAAATCCCAGACATTGTGCTGTTGGCTACAGGAACTGGGATGGTTTAACAATGGGGTATTTCCACTCGAGATCAAAGAGCTGCCTCACTAGATCTTTGTCAAGCATTATGAATTCAGTAGCAGCGAGTGCAGGCCTTTCACACTCCCTAATCTGCTTCTGTGCTAGAACATCCCTTTCTCCTCCTCAGAGTTACTTGCCTCTCCTTGATGCCAACATAAAAGGAAAAGAATGACAATGATTATTTTATCCCAGGGGACATAAAATATTTTTATGGTTTGATAAAATAAAAAGTGGGTAAAAGGTTAAATAAAGGCTAGTTGATGGAAGATGGGAAGGAAAGAGTAGGAAAATGAGAGATGAAAAGCTGTGCAAGAAGATCAAGATAGCAAAAGAAGGGAGATTTAGAAAGAGAGAAGGGAAAGGCCATCAGCAGTAACTGCTGTTAGCACACAGAATAGTCTTGATGAAATCAGCACCATCAGGAGGTCACCACAACCTGTCTTTGTAAGTGGCTCATTACAATTTTCCCAGGCAAGCACTGCACCAAGGGCCCTGCCCGTTCCCCCAGCCTTCCCCCTCAATATCCGCTCAGCCAATGCCTCCGAGAGCAGCTCCAGCTAATTTCCTTACAGACAGGCAAGCCAGTGATTCTGGGAAGCACAGATAGTCAGGAATAACAAACACGACCAAAATTAGATTAAAATAACCTGCTGATAAACAAATTACTCACCCAAAATACACACTGGATTAGGCACGGTGGGGATCCCTATAATCACAACGCCACCGTGTGGCTCCTGCTCCCTCACATCCCCTCCAGCCTCAGCACCCCTGGCCTGGCTTTGTCTGGGCTTGGGTAGCAGGTGTCCAGTTTAATTCCACTGCCCCCAAGCTGGGAATGGCTTGCCTGGTTTATTCTGGGGTTTGGGGTCACCAAAAGCAATAGACCCTATGGCTAGGAGTGCCCTGGAGGGCATCCCACATCTGCTCAAACAGGCTCCAGCCCCTCCACACCTTGATCTTGGAGACACAGGAGTGCTCCACAATGAGCTCCTCAGGCCTTAATACAGAGCTGAATCAAGATATGAAGACACATGTACAGAGAAGAAGTAGAGCAAAGCCAAAGGAGGCTGGAAAAAACCAGCATGTTTACCCTGGGGCAGAGAGGAGACTTTGGGAAAGTTTCAGTGCCTCACCCCACCTCAGTTTATCTGTATCTATCAGGATCTGCCTCCTCCTCCCCACCCTGGCCTGTAATGAGCATCTAGAAATTGAAGGAGGAAGAATGGTCATTAGTAACACAAGGAAGTTTGACTGTAACTACTGTAGATATTTACCAATCAGAATGTTCAGCCTTATTATAAAGTCAGAGTTAACATGGTGGAGAGACAGCAGATTCAAAAAAAGGCAGCCAGGCAACGGAGGCAGAAGTTGCTGTGAGCTGTTTGCTGTGTGCATGTGGCCATGGCAGGTGGTGAACAGCAGCTGGGAGAGCATGCAAGGGCTGGGATGTGTGCACAGAGATAAGTCAGGAGTGAGAGACCAGCTGATGATCAGACAAGAAATGCCTTCTCCAAATCAGTAATCTGAGCTTTCACTGATAGGAAGGTGTAGCACTGCCATTAGAAAGGACTTCAATTCTTCCATTATTCACCATCTCTGATTATCACCACGTGACAATCACTGGATACAGGGACTCAGCACAACCAAGGTGTCTCAGCTCTCACTGGGTTTCCAAGCATTTATTCCCTGCTGTGGATGAAGCACAAGTTTGTTGTGCTCCATCACTTATTACTTTAGGCCACCTTATACTTCCCCCTCTGAAACACAACAGCAACAATTTCCCAGGCCCATCTGGGTTGGAAATGCTTTCTTACACTGATGTCTCTTTCCCAGGCATATCTTGCTTCTTGCAGTTATGCACCTGATAAGTGAGCCTTTAGCATCAGCTTCTGTGGGGAAGGAGACAGAAGCCAAACAGTTTCCAGCCAGCCCATGGCTCTGCAGGTGGACAAAGTCTCAGGTGGAAGCCTGAGGTGAAGATGGATGTTGCTGGCTCCATCAGGGAGACACACTGCCATCTGCCTGCTTCCTTTAAAACTGCTTTCTCAGTGCACAGAAGAATAAAAGCAAGAGGGACACTGAACCTCCAGCTCAGCCCTGTGTAGAACCACAATCCCCTGGATCTCTTTGAGCTGAAACACTCAAGGGCAGGCCTAAAGGGGTACCCCCGAATGGCCATGTTCTTGTCCTGTCTGCCTTACAGCCTTCAGCAACATCAAAACACAAATCTCCTCACCATTTTCCAGCAAGATTTTCTCTAAAAACCTCACAATAATCAGTCCACTGCTGTAGCACTTTCCAGGATTCCTGCCTTCTGTTTAGCTTACATCCCAACTAAAACATGCTCAGGTTCCTCTGGCTGCTTTGCTGTGTACAGCTTTACCCCTGTTTTCACAAGCAATTTTCAAATGCTATGGCATTCACCAGATTTGATTCCTACCTTTCCTACACCCCCCAAATGCACTGGGGCCAGGGCCATAAATATGTTAACTGTGACAAAGAAAGATGTCCTGGTGCAATCCTGAAAAAGAATTCATCGCTCTTCCAAGCATGGTGAATTTACCTCAAGGAACCAGAGCTGTTTCTCGCATCTCCTGACCCACACTTCCCAAAAGACACAACCTGCTCATTTGTATGCAGCTACCAGAGCAGACTGCTCCAAAAGCCTGGAGCTTCTCATGCCCTGAACCACAGGACAAGGAGAAAACCAGAATACGTTCTTGGCCACTCAGAACTGCAGAAATCATCCAAAAAACACCAGTCAGGCTGACTTCTGGTATGTGATGCTCTATTTGATTTTACAGCATCAGCACCGTTTCCTAAATACCAGCTCCAATACCTTTAAAAAAAAAACAAACCTGAAAATAGATGTCTTTTTCTAAAATCACTTCACCATTCACACTCAAACAACATTGCTGTTATTTACATCCTTTTCTCCCCTTCCATGGAAGAAACAACAAATTGGGAAGGGAAATAAGTATTTGTCACTGGCTGGAGAAATTCCCCATTCGTCCCATTATACCAAGCCCCAGGACAATCAATGCTCTCAAAAGACTCAAAATAAGGGGCCAGCCTGGCTCCCTGGGCACCCACAGGGCTGGAGCACTCCAAGAATCAGAACTGGTATAGGAAACTCCTGCCTCTTTCCTGTGCATTGTTCTTTGGGACAAAGGGATGAGGAAATACCAAGGGAGAATGAGGTTTAACAGGATCACTCTGTCCAGCAGCACAGCACAGAAAGGAAAGTCAGAAAGAATATGAAGAAAAAAAGCTTACTTGATTTCAGCAGAGCTGCCAGAGCCCCAATGGCTGCCCTGGGGAAAGAAGAGAGATGGAGAAATAATGTCAATTTCTTCAATAATTTTTGTAACCTTCATCTTCACAGTCTTCTGGGCCAGGCTTCCCAGATGGTCTAAACTGACAGTTTATGATGGACTTTGACAGAACTGCAATGTTTTACACCAACAGAGGATCCAGCCTCTGCAGCTGACTCAGTTATTCCAAAAGACCATTAGCCCTTTAGCTTTACTGTTACACTGATTTGTAGTGACCATTAAAATTTAAAGCAACACCCACAAAGTGATCTAACAAGTCTTTAAACTGCTGCCCCAGAGCTTTTTCTTTGTACCAGAGACTTAGCACTTGCCCACTCCAGACACAAGTGCTTCTATCTGCATCATCAGATAACTTTCATATCAAGCTGGGACATCAATGTCAATATTTCCAGCAAAATCCCACTCCTTTTTCTATTTTCCCAAAACAAGCTTCACCCCATCCTCCTTCCCAGTTTAAACAAAAAACAAAACTGAATTTCTTTTAATTGAAACCACACCTTGCATTGCAAGGATGTGTAGAGGGCCCCATCAGAGGAGGACTGGTAGGAAAGGTGCTAAAGCTCTGTAGTAAAGTGGCTTGCAGTGAGTAAGGGCAGGGACAGACATTTCTGAGGACCTTCTGTGTCGTTTCATTGTGCAGGTGAGCAAATGAACCTGCCTGACTGCTTTGGCTGGGAGCTGGTCACTAACATTTGCAGCTTGAGAAGTTGAACTGAGACATCATTGCTCCCCAACTTCTGGAGGCAGGTTCCCTCCTCGTGTGGTAAAATCTCCATCCCACTTGTCTCACAGAAAACCTTCTTTTCCAGTCATGTTCTGCTGGAGCAAGATCCCTGTTCTAACATGGCTTACTGCTGTGAAGCTCCAAGTGCCCAGATCTGCTTAAATAAATACAGCTACAAAAACCTCCTTGTGCTAGGATTCCTTAAAATGTAATCTCGTCACAAACCAATCCCCAAATAAAATTTTATTAAATCCCATACTGAGCCAATTATCATCCTGCAGCAAGTAAATATTTTTTTGCCACCAAGCTCCTGTTTTTTGTGTGTCCTAACAGCAGCTGAGAGTAAGATTCAAGAGCTGGTTCTTGCTGATACTGGGCCAACATCTCCATCTAAAGTCATTCTTTCATAATGAATCTGTCAGAGTTCAAGAAGAGCTTTACAAACTGCAAAGAAAACACACTCAAATACAGATAGAACAGGAAATCAGTAGCTAAAAATCTCACCAGTGGAAGCACAGCCATGCTTTCATTACTTCTTTAGCACCAACTGAACAGGAATCATTCAGATGGTGCAGGAGTAATGTCATCCCCCAGCTATTCAGCCTGCTCAGAAGAGGAACACTCTACAGCCACTGATCACTCAGTCTCTCCACAAGTTCAAAGCCTGGGACAATGTAAACAACTCTAAGCAACTTCAAATTCCACCCAGAGCATCTCCCAAAGCTCACACTCCAGTATGTCTTTAAAGAGGGACTGCTCTGCATACCTATATTTTACAGGCCTAATGTGATGTCTCAATCACCTGCTAGAGCAGCAGAGCAAGGGAGGAATGACCAGAATATCTCTGGCTCCAAGCAGAAGAGTTCTCAGTATTTCCTCCAGGCATCTGTTTTATGTTGTAGGTGCTTATGAGCATTGCTAAGAGTTTCAGCAGAGCTGCACTGCTGTCATAAAGACAACACTGCCAGCAAACCTCCCTTCAGACAATAAATCAACAAATCTGGATCTTCCAATACTTTTGGGGGAGGTCTGTGAACCACATTGTACACAGACAACTTCATTCATCCTCAAAGGATTCCAGAATTCCCAGAGCATGTTCTCAGCCTAATCTCCAGTCCCAACTGTCCAGGCCTGGCAGACTCCAATGATATGCATTGAGAGAAAAAGCCATAAAAGACATGAGGATAAACTGCAAAACAGGTAAAATAATTTTAAGGGATAAAACAGACTTACCAAGACTAGATCAAGCCAGCCTAATTTGGTATTTTTCTTTGATAAGAAAACCAACTTCTACACAAGGGAAGTGTGGTAGATCAATTTATCTGTACTTCAATAAAGCATTTGATATGATGCCACAATGAAAATTATTAGTCAAGCTGGAGAACATGGGGATTAGTGTAAGAATTACAATGTGGGAAAGGAATTGGTTAAAGACTTCATGACAGGAGTTGTGCTGGAAGAGGAATTATAAGTCTAGAGGGACCTTATGTGTGGAAGTCCTCAAGGATCTTTTCAGACTGATCTTATTTCAGCTTTTCATTAATGACCTTGGCACAAAAAGTCAGAGTATACTAACAAAATCTGCTGACCGTGTGAAGTCAGGAACTGCTGCCAATAGCAGGGAGTTCAGAATATCTTTCAGGAGTAACAAGATGTTCTTGAGTTCTGAAGGAATAGAAATGTGATGAAATATAATAGCCAAAGTGCAAGGTTAAGCATTTAGGGTTTAATAAGGATTACCGTTATGACCAGGGGCTCATAATTTGGAAATGAGTAGAAGGACACCCTGGATATATGAGCCCATTAAGGGATAAGGACAAGCATAACCAGCAGGGTGACAACCATGAAAAGGACAGATCAGGTCTCAGAAAACCAGTGGAGAAGGGAGCATGGACATTCTCATAGAAGGCTTCACCTGAACAGCTGTGTGCAGAACTCAGAAGGAGCCATGCAGAAACCTGCCAAGGAAATCATTATGGTACCAGAGACATAATTCATTAGGAGTCCTAAAGATCAGAGTTTAGTCACCCTAACAAAATGATAGCCAAGAGACAACTGGATTGTTCCCCTCAGACACACTTGGGTGGCAGAGAAGTAAACACTGAGGAAGGCAGAGAGAAACTTAGAGCTGAGGAAAAAAATTTGGCCCTAGGACAAATGGATATAAAATGGCCATGAATAAATTTAGCTGGAATTGAAAGGATGGGTTTTAAGCACTGGAAAATGAAGGCATGAAACATCCTCTTGGCAGCAATGGGACAAACAACCTAATGACTTTGAAAAGGCAGCCTGGATTGCTTATAATGGGACTGCCAGGCCCAGTTGCCAACGAGGAAGGGGTCTGAGAAAAGTGACCCAGGAATGACTGTACCCCTATAGCCTTACATTTTAAACATGGATATAATGGGAATGAAATGAGAAATATGTATTCTAAGTGCAGAGTTAATCAGCCAGCCCAGAAAAGAGCAGCTGCATCAGCTTAAGATGGAAGTCCAAAGAGTCCAGTGTCCTGTGGCCAGCAGTGCCAAGGAAAGCATGCAAGGCCACAGCAGATACAAAGTGCTAGGACTTGCAGAACAGATTCAAACTCCAGCAGTTTTCAGCCCAGAGATCCCATAAACTTGCTTTGGTGCCTTTGGGAGGGGTTTCAGCTCTTAGCTGATTTTGCTTCCATATGTGTGCCTGAGAACTTCTGAACTTGTGTAAACTCCTGATATTCATAATTATCCTGGAAAAGGACTTCACACCTGCATTTGTTTTAAGTTTGGACTTTCAATCAGCATTGTAATTTGCACATTAAGTCAGGTGTTAGCCACCCCCAGAATATTACCTATCTTTGATGCTGAACAAAACCAAACACACAAAACACCTTATGGGAAACAATAAATCATAGAAGAGGAATAGAAGCAGAATAGGCTTTCACTGAAAGCAGCAGCAAGACCATTGAAGCATCAGTGAGGCTACAGCAAGCCAGGCAAACGGTGTTTGTGATAATACCAGCACCTCTTAGCACCACATGGCAAACCAACAGCATCTTTGCTGGCATCAGGAGATATAATAAGATGAGTAAGCCTGGGACAGGAAAGCAGAGAAAGGAGTTCATAAATTGTGTACAAGAGCAAGGACAGGGCAGGAGGAAGATGAGAACAGGAGGGAAGGTTTGAGAGCACAAGAAAGATGACTTGATGAGCCATATGCCAGACCAGAGAAATTGATAGCATGCCCAGAGCAAATCTCTGTATTTGTCTCAAGAAGGGATGGAGGGGAGATGAGGAGGGGGAAAAAGGGATTAAATCATTTTAAAAACTTGCCAAATCTGTCCAGATGCCTTCCTCTGATTTTCTGATTTCTGTGGTAATACATTAGCCAATTCTTAACTGTTTCATCAAGTCCAGTGTATCCCAAAGGAGACTCATTCATATATTAACCAAAAAAAGAGTCATAAATAAAGTTACACTGTCTTATAAAGCATAATAATAAATGCTGCTCCATAATCAGAAAACATTAAAAACTCCCTGTAGTAGCAGTCGAGACAGCCACTCTGCAGAATGGAAAACTTTGAAGTGTTTCCAAGTCAGCAGCTTGGATATCTGGGCAAGAGTACAACTAGCAGACAGATAGACAAATGCAACTTCCAGATCCTTTGCTTAGGAACCAGGAGCAACAACAAAGAAAAACTCCATGTCCCAAGCCAAAGCACAATTGGATTAGCCAGTAAAACCAGGCTGTTAAAGAGCTGGACAAAGGAGCCCTGTGCCTAGGTCACCCTTTCAGATCTGAGCTGCCAGGATATTTTTTGCTGGAAATCACTGCAGGCAGGGGAGCCTGAAAACCAAGATCCCTTCTGTCTTCTTCTGCACTCTAATCTCAGCACAAAGCACTTTGATGGACAATCCTGGGCCTATTTCTGTCTCTTGAAGCAAACAAAAGGACTCCTGAAAATACAAAACCCCACACCAGAAGAGATACAGGGTTGACTGCATGAAAGGATTTAAATACTCACACATTGATGGTGCACAACCACCCAGGACTAGCCTGGAACTATGGACAGGGCACAGCAGAGAAGCCAAAGACTGGATAAAGAAATGAACCAAAAGGACTCTGCAGATCAGCCCCCAAGTAACTTAACCACCCTTCCTTCTGTGAAATTGTGCTTTCTACATGCTAAAACTCAGAACACCCTCTTCAAGTTATTGAATGAAATCCAATGACTTGGTGCTTTATTATTAACATGTTCAACCTGACGCCTATTTCC